ATTTTGAGTTTATTTTTGTGTATGGTGTAAGTTGGTGGTCTAGTTTCATTTTCTTGCATATATCTGTCCAATTTTCCCAACACCATTTATTGAAGAGACTATCTTGGCTCCATTGAATGTTCTTTCCTCCTTTGTCAAATATTAATTGAGCATATTGGTTCGGGCCGATTTCTGGGTTCTCTATTCTATTCCATTGATCTATATGTCTGTTCTTGTGCCAGTACCAGGCAGTTTTGAGAACAGTGGCTTTGTAATACATCTTGATATCTGGTATTGAGATCCCACCTACTTTGTTCTTTCTCAGGATTGCTGCAGCTATTCGGGGTCTTTTTTTATTCCAGATGAATTTTTGGAGAGTTCGTTCTAGATCTGTGAAGTATGCCGTTGGTATTTTAATGGGAAGTGCGTTGAATTTATAGATTGCTTTGGGTAGTATGGACATTTTAATGATGTTGATTCTACCAATCCATGAACACAGTATATTCTTCTACCTGTTTATGTCTTCCTCTATCTCTTTTTTCAGTGTCCTGTAGTTTTCTGAGTACAGGTCTTTTACCTCCTTAGTTAAGTTTATTCCTAGGTATCTTAATTTTTTTGGTGCAGCGGTAAATGGGATTGTTTTTTTGTTTTTTTAATCCATGCCTGATTTTGTGACACCATTCATCGGTTCTTTGGAAAATAATAATTTGCCATATTGAGCAGATCTTGCAAATGTTGACATGTTTAATAGGTTTTCAAAATCTCATCTATATATATAAAACCCTTATATGCAAATAGACTGAACGGCGAAACAACCAAACAACTGAACAACCAGTCGCTATGATGTGCACTGACAACCAGGGGGCACACGCCAAACATGGCAGGTGTTGGCAGCAGGCGACATAGCACGGAACATGGCGGGCATTGGCCACAGTGGGATAGTGGAGCTGGTAAGTGGGGGTGCCAGACCAAGGCGGGGCGCTAGTTGCTGTCTTGGGGGCAAACCTCTGGTGGTTATTGAAAATTCTTTGCTCCCGCGTGCCATGGCCCCGCAGGGCACTCTCACCCACTGCCGACACCAGCCCCACTCGCATCTGCTGCCAGCGCCGGAGCCACTGCTTGTACCCACTGGCGGCACCTGGTGCCAGCCCCTATCGCTTGGCGCCATCAGCAGTTGCGAGCAGTGGCTGCCGGCCCCGATCACCCCTCAGGGCTTCTCCACCTCCACCTGCTTCTGAGGGGTGATTTGGGCAGCAGCCACCCCTTGCAGATGCTGACGGTGCCAGCCCCACTCGCACCCACTGCTGGCACTGGAGCTGCCTCTCGCACCCGCCGCCGACGATAGCCCCACTCTCACCCACTGCTGGCACCGGAGCTGCCGCTCGCACCCACTGATGGCACTGGCCCTGCTCACACTCACAGCTGGTGCCGGAGCCACCGCTCGCACTCGCTGCCAGCGTTCTGCGCCAGCCGTGATCACTCAGCACCGTCAGTGGGTGCAAGCGGCGGCTGCCAGCCCCGATCTCCCCTGAGGGCTTCTCCACCTCCCTCTGCTCCTGAGGGGCGATCAGGGCAGCAGCCACCGCTCGCATACGCTGATGGTGCCAGCCCCGCTCACACCCGCTGCTGGCGCTGGCCCCAATTGCTCTGTGCTGTCTGTGGGTGCGAGTGGGGCTGGTGTCGTCAGCATTTGGGAGTGGCAGCAATGGGAGTGGGGCTGCCAGCAGAGGGGACCAGGGGCCACTGTGGGAGGGGCCGGGCATGGGCATGGAGAATGGGCCGAGACCCATCCCCATGTCCACTGCAGCCTCACAGCCCACAGTTCCTTTCAAGGTGCATGAATTCGTGCACTGGGCCCCTAGTTTGTTAATATGATGCTTTAATCTGAAAAGTGTTTAAGAAATGGGAAGCTATTGGCAACTTCATTCATTTTCCAGAAAATGTCTACCTAACACTTGAGTTTGAGTAACCACTTGTTAATTGTCTTTTTAAGTCAGAATGTTGCCACCTAAAAAAAGCAGTTAACTCAACTCACAACTCATATTTCATTACACAGCACCTAGTGCTTTATGTCAAACATTTGTCATACAAAGTGTTTAAAAGTTGTGTACTCATTTTATTGAAATATAATTAATAATTTTAACTGCTTCTTCAATGACATTCTTAAATAAAACTGATTTTGTCATCCCATTTCCTGGAGTTCATTGTGATAAAGAATACAATGAGTGGCTTCTACATTTTGGTGCCAATACCATTCTTGCTAAGGCACCAGCAGTTTTACCTCCCACTGATTTTGCACCATTAATGCAAATGTCAGACAATGAAAAAGCATCTTTGTAATTATAATATTGATTTCCAAGATCCCTTGAAAGAGCCTTGGGGACTCCAGGGCCTTGGAACCACCAACCACCCTTTGAGAATCACTGGCATAGAAAGATCTCAGGTTTATAAAGTTGATTAATTCAGTTCAACTGCTCTGATTTTCTCTACACTGTCCATGCCAAGTATTTATTTAGATTATGCTTGAATACGTCCAGTTCTTGTGAAAAACTGTGTTTAAATGAATAAAAATGAGTGTCATAGACAGCTGTTTGATAAAAGTAAATGAAATCCTTAAAAAGTTTCCATACATTTTTACTGGGTTCCTATAAGTAATCAAGCATGATGGAATTTAGATATTACTAAACCTATATTGTAAATGACACATGCTTAAGATTTTATTTTTCTTTTCCTATATTTAAGGACAATTGTGGCCCTTTCTTTGATTTTCTTTGTGTCATCTGTAATTAAATAAGCTTATGTTAGACATGTACAGTTCTATATGTCTATGTCTGGTTTCCTGAGTAGATCATGAGTTACTTAAGAATAAGAACTGTTTTTTATAATTTTGAAATAGTTTATAGTATCTAGGCACTATGATTCACATAGCCGGTTATAGCATTGTCTTTAATTTTTAAATAGTATGGTACAATGAAATGGAATCTCATGAGGCTTGAAATCCAGCCTTGGTACCACTTCAGTGGTCCAGGCTGGGTTTGAAAATTCCTTGGGGACCTGTCCTTGTATTGTGAGAACTGGGTTTGAGAATTCCTCGGGGACCTGTCCTTGTATTGGGTATAACTTTGGTATTGATCTCTTTTATTTTTAAACTAGAGGCCTGGTGCATGAAATTCATGCATGGGTGGGGTCCCTAGGCCTGGCCAGTGATCAGGGCGGGGTTGGGAGAAGAGGTGACGGTCTCCGGGCCAGGTGCAGAAAGAACAGACACCAGACGCCAATGCCACCATCGGCACCCGACCACCCCATGGTTCCCTGCCTCCCCATTCTTCCCCTCGCCACCACGCCGCCACTGGGGCCTGCCGGCCGGGGGGAGAGACAGGACCTGCTGGGGGAGGGACCGTGGGAGGTTTGCTGGCCAGGGGGAGGGGCCACGGGAGGTTGGCCGCCTTCTCCCTCCTCTGTCCCTCGCTACCTGCCACATGGCAGGCCAATTGGGGCCTGCCAGCCAGGGGAAGGGACAGGGTAGTGACCGTGGGAGGTTGGCCACCGGCCCCAAGGAGGGGACCAGCCCTTGGCCCCCTGGGAAAAGGGCCACGTCCGCCACCACCCACCCCCGATTCCCCGTCCCAGCCCAGGGCCTGGCCAGGGGGAAGGACCGTGGGAGGTTGGCTGGCCAGGGGGAAGTTGGCTGTGGGAGTGCACTGACCACCAGGGGGCAGCTCCTGCATTGAGTGTCTGCCCCCTGGTGGTCAATGCGTGTCACAACGACTGGTTGTTCTGGTCGTTCTAGTAGCTTAGGCTTTTATATATATAGATCATAAGTCTATAGAATAGTTATTTAAATATTTTTCCTTAGAAATGAAACCATTTGCAATCCTCCAAGTATATATATGAGATGATTAAGGTAAGTTGAGTGTGCCTATCTCTCCGTTGACTTATTGCTCAGCTAACACTAGTCAACATGGTGGTTCTGAGAGCTTTACAGCTTTAAATTGTTTGTATTTTTAGTCTTAAATTGGCTGTTATATAGTCACAATGGGCTAATATTTAAAGACAGGAAGCACATGGAGCACTAAATGTGAACTAAGTAAATTAATGAGGACCATAAAATTCTTAAGATCATTACTAGATCTGTAAGTTGCATTCATATGATGAAAGTGCTTATATAATACATCAATATGTTGCTTATACTTTAAAACCATTCTTTTAAAAGGAAATATATCTACTTGTGTATATATTATAAAAATTAATCATGCTTTTAATAGATTATTTCTTCAGAATTATTTACTAATATCAATATGACATCTCTAACTACTTCATCTAAATAAAAAGCACCAACATTATTTTTAAGGTTGACTTTTAAAACTTCAAATATAAGATCTGTGCATGTTAAATAATATGCCTATTTTTGATACTGTAACATAATTTTAGATTATCTTCTTATATATTGACACTCAGAATCAAACATATGTTTTTAAAAAATATATTCGTTGAAAAACTGGCATTCAGGAACAGAGTATTTTACTCCTCCCTCAGAATGAATGGAGACCAAAAGTTGGATGTTTATGACCAAAAAAAGCAGAATTTCATCGAGCACTTCTCCCAGATTTTCAAGGTACTGACTGAGGATGACATGGGGCATCCAGATACAGAAGATGCTATTGCCCTGCTCAAGGAGGTCCTGGAGTACAGTGTCATTGGAGGGAAGTACTAACGGGGAATGATGGTGCCTGGTGGAACTAACAAAGCAGGATGCTGATAGTCTCCAACTCGCCATGACTGTGGGCTGGTGTGTGGAACTGCTCTAAGCTTTCTTCCTGGTGTCAGATGACATGGATTCATCCCTCACCTCATGGGGGCAGATCTGCTGGTATCAGAAGCCAGGTATAGGTTTGGATGCCATCAATGATGCTATACTTCTGGAAGCATGTATCTCCTGACTGCTGAAGCTCTATTGTTGGGAGCATCCCTATTACCTGAACCTGATGGAACTCTTCCTGCAGAGTTCCTATCAGACTGAGATTGAACAGACCCTGGACCTCATCATAGCCCCCCAGGGCAGCATGGATCTTGGCAGATTCACTGGAAAGAGGTACAAATCTATTGTCAAGTATAAGATAGCTTTGTACTTCTCTCTTCCTGTAGCTGCTGTCAGGTGTATGGCGGGCATTGATGGGGAGAAGGAACACGCCAATGCCAAGAAGATCCTGCTGGAGATAGGAGAACTCTTTGAGATTTAGGATGATTACTTTGACTTCTTTGGGGACTCCAATGTGACGGGCAAGATTGGCACTGACACCCAGGACAACAAATGCAGCTGGCTGGTGGTTCAGTGTCTGCAACGGGCCTCTCTGGAACAGTGCCAGGTCCTGCAGGAGAATTATGGGTAGAAAGAGGCTGAGAAGGTGGCCCAAGTAAAGGCACTCTATGAGGAGCTGAATCTATAGGCTGTGTTCATGTAGTATGAGGAAGACAATTGCAGCCACCTTCTGGGTCTCATCAAGCAGTACTCTTTGCCCCTACCCCCAGCTATCTTCCTGAGGCTAGCACACAAGATCTATAAGTGGATAAAGTGACTGCCAGGGTGGAGAGAGGCTCTCAATAAATTACAATAAATCCTCAAAAAATATATGTATTTACACATGCTTTTTTTCTAATTAACATATAGCATGCAAAATGTTAGGTGAGGAAGAAGTGTGTAGTTTTGGATAATTTTTAGATGTTGATGAAGCATCAGGTACTCAAGGAACAGATAAATTGATGTAGATGGAGTAGACATAGACAATGGAAATACTTCATACACAAGTATGATAGTTGGAACCATGAGAAAGAATGAAATCACTGAGGAGAAAGAAGGTAAGTAGATAGGACCTTGGAAAATGCCTAAATTGGAGTAGGTCAGAGGGGAAAACACAGGAATTTGAATATACTGGAAGCTGAGAAAGAATTAATGTTTGGTGCCACTTAGGGGTATGGTGTTGCAGTGTGAATTTAGAGAAATACATTAGAATTATTAGCAAGTGAGGTTTGCTTTTTATGAGTGATTAGAGGCCTGGTGCACGAAATTCGTGCCAGGATCGGGCCTAAACTGACAGTTGGACATCCCTCTCAAAATCCTGGACCGCTGGCTCCTAATCGCTCACCTGCCTGCCTGGTCGCCCCTAACTGCCTACTCACCCCCGTGCCAGCCTGATCACCCCTCACTGCCTCTGCGTGCCAGCCTGATCACCCCTAACTGCCCTCCCTGCTGGCCTGGTCGCTCCTAAATGCCCTTCCCCCTGCTGCCAGCCTGGTCACCCCTCACTGCCCCCCCCGCCTGCCTGGTTGCCCCTATCTGCCCCCCGCTGCCAGCCTGGTCGCCCCCAACGGCCCCCCCTGCTGGCCTGGTTGCCCCACACAACCTGCTGTTTAGTCGTTTGGTCGTCCCTCATTAATGCCCTGCCCATCTGGTCGTAGGCAGCCATCTTGTGAATGTGTGACGGTCAATTGGCATATTACCTCTTTATTATATAGGATCATTGTAAGAGTTACTACATCAGATTCTCATGATAGTAAGTAGTTGAGTTACCAGGGGTGGTTAAACTTACAGACATGTATTAGAGACATTTGACATGTGACAGCTGGTGTGGTAACATGGCAAAAGGCAGAAGTGAGAAATGGTAATAAGGCATTTATTTGAGATGTAGACATAAGGTTAAACACATAATCTATATAATAAAAGGCTAATATGCAAATCAACCAAATAGAACGACGACCGGTCGCTATGACACGCACTGACCACTAGGGGGCAGATACTGAATGCAGGAGCTGTCCCCTGGTGGTCAGTGTGCTTTCACAGGAGGAGCACCGCTCAGCCAGAAGCCAGGCTCATGGCTGGCTAGCGCAGCAGCGGTGGTGGGAGCCTCTTTCACCTCCATGGCAGCGCTAAGGATGTCCGACTGATAGCTCCCAGACCGTAAGAAGGTGCAGTCGGGGCTGAGGGACGACCCCCCCCCCCACGAGTGCATGAATTTCATGCACTGGGCCTCTAGTCCTATATAATAAAAGGCTAATATGCAAATTGTCCCCTTAACCGATCGGGGTTGGCGGCCAGACCCCACTGGGTTTCTAGTAATGTAGAAGCAAGAGAGATGAGTTTATTGGTTGACTAAGATTCTCTTCTCCACAGATGTAATCTTTTTTCCCTGTAAGGTACCTTTCTAAGTAGTAGTAAGCTTGATTGAACTTTGAATATATGAAACTCACCATTCCTCTTGATTGTTTATGATGCTAAGATGTTATCAGCAAATGCATTTCAGCATGGAAAAGAACCTGGCAAATAATCCATCTCTCCTGGCAACACATTTTATAAATATTTTGCCCCAAAGGACATACTTTAGAGCAGCGGTTCTTAACCTGTGGGTCGCGACCCCTTTGGGGCTCGAACGACCCTTTCACAGGGGTCGCCTAAGACCATCGGAAAACACATATAATTATATATTGTTTTTGTGATTAATCACTATGCTTTAATTATGTTCAATTTGTAACAATGAAAATACATCCTGTATATCAGATATTTACATTACGATTCATAACAATAGCAAAATTACAGTTATGAAGTAGCAACGAAAATAATTTTATGGTTGGGGGTCACCACAACATGAGGAACTGTATACAAGGGTCACGGCATTAGGAAGGTTGAGAACCACTGCTTTAGAGGGTAACTAATCACCTTGCTTTTTCTTCATGACCAGAAGCAGTGGTCTTGTGTTCAGCTGGGCATTCACACTCATAAGACCCAATGGACCATACCTGGCACAAGCCTCTCTGCTTTGTTGAAAGAAATGAGATAGAAAACCCAAGAAATCATCATCAGGTGTATTGTTCCTGAATGATAGTATAGGCTAGTAGAAAGATGACACATGGGTGGGTGCCTCCTGACTTGTTTTGTGCTCCACAAGACAATATCTTTTGTAACAGCACATGGGCATAGTGTCCAGGATTCAGCAGAGGGACAGGCCAGTTGCAGATTATGTACCATTCAGAAAAGCCCACTCTTTTTACTTCTCACTTGGCATGTGTAGCCCTGCTCCCTGTCTGCTCAATCCAGATTTAGCTCACCAATAGTGGTCAAGTTTAGCACACAAAATGTTGCTTAGAAACATAACTGATATCCTGCCTTTATGAGGTTTCCAGGGAAACCATGCTAGAAGGTTAGCCAGAGGTAATTTCTTTTATGGAGAGAAAAGGTTTTTGTTAACCCTTTACTCAATTTATTAGCAAAATAAATGGAAAACTTGCATAAAGCTTGCTGTAGAACCTACAGTGGACTGTATCAGAGACACTATTCATTTACATCAAGTATCATAATAACATCTGTGATAGTTTCAGCAAATTTAGTAAATAAAAAATTCTTCCGGTGTTAAGTTTGCTTGTTCTAGTTCCCTTATGATAAAGACTAGGGAGCAGAAATTATTGGCAAATTGGATTATGTAAAAATAAGGCAGTCAGTGAGTGGAGGTCTCTTTCTAGACCATTAGTGTGCCATAAACATATTAGAAAAGACAAGTAGACAATCCAGAGCAGTGTTTACTAACCTGCCCTTAAAATTGACTTCCATTAGATGTTCCTTAAAATGAATTGGCTTTTATTCTGACTCTCACCGTTTAACAATCCATTGTAAGATTATGTTTGTTTATCACAAAGTAATTTAGTTAAAGTGATGTTTCAGGAATGCTTTGTGGAAAACTGCAAGTTGAATATTTTCCCTAACCAATAATGGACTCAAATATGCAATTTTTCTGATATCCACTCTTAAACATGTGCCCAGTGCCCAGAATACAGTTATGTTTTCTTAGAAGTGGAAAGAAATCTGGATTGAGCAGAAGTTTAATAATTCAGATATATTACTGGATTTTTTTTTTAAATTTTTACTCTTGAGTATATGTAAAGTGTTATACTACCTAGTAGGGAATACAGTAGTGAAAAAGAGAAACATAGTTCCTGGTCTATTTAAATTCAGTATTGTATGTTGAAATTAGAAACTAAAGAAGCTACTTAAAACAATTATTTTTCAGTTTGAATAATTGAAAATTTTAACTAGATATTGTGTGTGTGTGTGTGTGGTTTGAATTAAATATGCCTTGTCTAGATATTAGAAACTTTGTATTTTATCTAGTGTTGCAGTAGGTTTTTTTAGTCATTGCTATACACTTTGATTTGAAAATTGAGTCAATTCACTCCTGGGATTATCTGGGTTATAGAAATGCTTTATCATGTCCTTTTCAAATTTTCAGTTTTTTTTTTTCTTATAGTTGTGTGGTAAATTCTGATTTTATGTTAACTTGAGCAGAACACAGTTAAGAATGCCAGAAATACTTGGTCACAAAAGCAAATAAAGTTAATAGATCTATAGCATTTATAAATGCTTTTTAAAATTTCATTTGATAATGTAGGCATTTTTAAGTTCTCATTCTACTGAAAAAGAATTCAGACTGGAAATAAGTGGTAAACCCAAAATTATTCTGCAGATAGGTATATGATAGCATAGACCAGGGGTGGGCAACCCCTGGCACGCGTGCCAAACATGGCACGCCAGTAACTTTTGCTGGCATGCGAAACCCTCTCTTATAATCT